ATTAATTACTTATATTTAAGTAATACTTTTACTAACTATTAGTAAGTTAAGGGATATAAATATAAAACTTCCCCTCTTTTTAAAACCAAGGACAAAGAGAATATATATAATTAATTCTACCTAATACTATACTTTCTATTAATATAATTTCTTACTTTAGAATTTCTTTCCTCTTTTCCTATATCTTAAGGTAGCCACGATTCTACTCATCGTCAGTATAACAGTAATAGCACTCATCCTCTGGCATGTGGATCTCGTCACAACAATATTGTCCTTGGGTATAGCCGCTGTTACAGGTGCAATGCCTGGCGCCACTCAGTCCCAGCCCAGAAAAGTAAACATGGCATGTCGCGCGCACTGAATCATACATGGCTATGTCCTCATCCGTCCATTCCCTCGATTGTCGTAACAATACTGCTGTGGCTTGATGTCCTTCTCGCTCTGCGAAATGAATAGCTCGAATAAACTGAAATATCCCAGGTCCTTTGGTAATTGCCCCGTGTTGGAGTAATAGTTCAACTATGTCAAGGCGGCCGCGCTCAGCAGCCCCTTCCAATGCCGTTCTGCCACGTCCTCGACTACCCCTGGCATTGATCCGCGCACCAGCATCCAGCAGCTGCTTCACTAATCCAATGTGTCCTTTGATGACGGCACTTTGCAAAGCTGTAACGCCAGTAATAAAAGATGGCGCTGCATTAACTTTTGCTCCAGACCGCAGAAGGACCTCGACGATTGTTAAGTGACCAAGTTCAGTAGCAGATTGGAGAGGCGAGCGGCCCATGTGATGGAGTCCTTCATTCTGGTTGATATCGGCTCCAGATTCGATAAGCCAGGCGACTGCTTCCTTCATTTCATGATATATCGCATATCCCAGCAAGGGCGAAAGTGTCAATAGCGGTAGTTGAAGACTCCTTACGTGAAGGTTGTAATCCATCAGCGCCTCCAAGCAATTCAAGGTATTCATGCTAAAAGCCCTAGCCCAAGTAATATCGTCAGGCTGATAACCGTGACTTAACAGTTCCAAGACCCCGGTTGTTCCTCGGTAGGATGCGGCTAAAGCCAATGGACTGCCCTCAAAAAGTCTACGACGAATACGGCCACCAAACTCATCATCATCGTTTGACTGTCTGTGCCAGAAAATGTGTGATGGAATGATGTTAAGGCCATTATCGTTGAAAAAATCAAAAGAATAGCTCGAGGAAAAGACAGGAAGCAGTGCGGTCTCTGGTTTTTGAAGCCGCATGACAAGCTTTCGTACCAAAGGCAGATTACATAGCATCGCGGCTAAACCAACTGCGGTTCCCTCCAAAATATCGCGAGGGGCTTGAAGAGATCTGTTCTTCAAAAGAAAGTCAATGACCCAGTCATTCTCAACCAGCACAGCAGAGCATAAGCTTGATGGGCTGTAGTATGTTGGCAATTCTGAGAATGCGCTTTTGAGCCGGGGATCATCTTGCGCGATGATCGCAGCGTCGATATCAAGCGCAATGTCCTTGCGAGGGTCGAAAATGCTCGCCCAATGTTTCAAAAGGAGGGTTCTGAGACGCGGGTCACATCCGCCACGCTCTCCTCGAATGTTGCATACATGCCCAGGTACGAGGGCTTCAAACACTTCAGATGTCGGTGTGTGCAGTTCAGCGCCCCTTTCTAGAAGCAGCTGGACACAGTTTGTGTTTTTACTCCGCAGAGCTAACGCAAGCGCGCTGTCTCCGTTCAAATCTTGTTCGTTTGGGTCGCCCCCGGCGTCCAGAGCAGCAGAAAGTATGTCGTCACATCCTGTACTCGACAATTGGAGAATTGCTTTTGGAGGGAACAAAGCTCCCAATCTAAGAAGGAGTTTGATCGCATCATTCCAATCACATCTGACTGGCGTATCACGGAGAAATAACTCCAAAACAGTCAGGGGCTTTTGTTCATCGTATAAGTGAAAATTCCAATGGGTAACTCTATTTGGCACTAAGAACCGACATGCATCTATATCAGCCCGTTTCGCCGTAAGATTGACGACAAGCCCATTCGCCAGAAGGTACTGTAATATGTCGAGCTGGTGTGTGAATATTGGAATAAGAAGAAGAGTGGCGCTGGATTGACGATAGAGCTGGAAGAGCAACTGATAAGCCTCTTGATGACCCTGTTTTATAGCAACTTCCAAAGGCGTTACGCCGCGTGCATTACTCCTGAAACCGATAGGGTTGATTTCATGAAGAAAAGATATAACATCAGCGTTCCCGGCACATGCTGCTGAAATAAAAACGTCAGACGTGATAAACGACGCCGCTTTGATGGCCTGATTTTGGTTTTGGAGAAGGTCAAACACTCGACGTGTGGCGTGAATGCTGACTGCAGCAGCGGTGCTCAAAGCTGTTTCCTCTTTGACGGTGTTGGACCTTGCATGTGTGGGGATGTCTGTCAGCGTTTCGATTGGTAGCGAGACATCTGCCCCAATTTCTAGGGCCTGTTCGAAAAGGCGCTCATCTTGTAGTAGAATAGCCGCGTGGAGGGTTTCTGTTGTTGTCAAGAGCTGATAGTGGCTTAACAAGAGCCTGATGATATGTGTTCCTTCACTATCACAAATCCGATCAGGCAGTACCAAGCTCATAATCGACCGAGGGTTAGAAGTCCCCTGATTCCTACCAACAACAGCACCGGCCTTCAGGAGCGGTTCAATTATGTCTACCTGTCTAGACAAAATCGCAATATCCAATGCCTTTTCGGTTAAGGTCGGAAACTCGATGTTAGGGTCTTGGTCTAACGAAAGCAGCCATTTGACCAGAGTCTTAGGATTCTCCATATCCACCATCCTCTTTTCATGGCAGATGAACATGATCAGGTTTCGGAAGAGGTTATCCATAAATGCTCTGATGGTCAGATCTTGTTGTCGGGCTCTCCTTAGACTGTCTGGGGCACTCAAGAGACCAGTCCTGGAGATGAGAGTATAAAGATTTTCAAAATCATCAGCCTCCCACGTTGAGACCATGTTATTCGAGACTTTATAGAAAATGAGCTTCAGGCACTCGGGTATCATGACATTTGCGGTGCCCGTCGCGATGATTTGAGCAGTCTGTAGGTGTTCACCAGGGAAGTATTCCGGCATTCCCATAACAAGGTTCATAGCGAACCTGGGGACTAGGTAGCTCGCCTGATTTTGATCCAGTTTCTGTCCAGCCAGCAATATCTTCGATATAAGAAGATGAAGTAGTGGCGCTCTTTGCTCACCCGTCGTTCGGTGTAGGTGAGTATAGCTTAACCCTTGTCAAAATATAATTAGATAAGGCCGTCGTTCCTTTAGTGACTAAACTTACATTCTTGCAACTTGGATCGGAACTTGAACCACGGCAGCGTCTCTGGCCACTCAAACTCGTTTAGGTAAGCTTGGGGCGTACAGACAATAAGCTGATCTGACGATGCAATCGGCTGAATATGGCTTTCTGCGAAATGTCAATTTCGGAATTCTAACTTGGGAATTCAATTTGTTGTGGACTTACCAGCGAGGTTTTGGGCGCGGATACTTGTATTGAAGTGGTGATTTATTTGTTTGTCGATGGTGGCTTGCTTTACTCGCTTACCGCATAAAAGAACATCGCTTTCTTTACCTTCCCGCTTCCTTTTGTTGATCGTTTGGTCGATATACTTCCATGACTTGCGGTTAATATATTTGAATATATTCCACTTTTTCAGTCGGTACTCCAGTTGGGATTCCCTGAGCACTAGTTAGCACAAGTAATATAAGAGGGCATTGAAATACAACGTGACAGCGAAATTCTCAAAGATACCCAGCCAGTAGACGAGATCGTTGAGAGACATATCCGAGAGGTATAAGTTTCGAATTAATGTGTAGTTCCGCAGCCATTCTGCTTCTATGGCATCCTTTTTCCGTACTTGGTCCATGACGAAGTTGTTGGTCAGAAGGATAGAAGGTAGGGATGTGAAGGTTGGAAGTGATTATTGACAAGTAGGTGAGAGTGCAGAGCTGAGATGGAGGTAATACTGAGGGGCGATTGCTGATCTAAATAGTCAGGCTCAAGAGCCTCATGTTTCGTCACCAGGGAAATTGTCGGTCACCAAATGCTCAGCTCGCTCATCCATGCGGCTGAATACCCAGGGTCCGAAACACGTATACAGCAAGCCACTTCCCTCTACGAGCGCCCTCAGCCAATAATCCAGAATCTGAAATTCACAAATGTGGAGACACGGCTCATCTTAGCCAATAAGCCAAAATCTGAATGCATATGCAGGTCTCGCTAATATTTTACTTGACCAATGGTCCAGAATCTGAAAAGCACAAAATTGGAGACATGGCCTACCTTAACCAATGAGCCAGAATCTGAAAAGGCCGAAATAGTACAAGCGTTTTTTTTGGCCAGCAGGCCAGAATCCAAAATGTGCCCGGCTCACCAGTGTCTTTTCCAGCTTCTGGCATATCGGAACTGGACTCGGGTAATCATCTTTTGAACTTTTACAGATACTCCTTTTTTATATATAAGTTAATAAGTCTCTCCTCAATCATTGAGTCTATCTTCCTCAATACGTTTTTAAGTCCTTATACATCGACTTCTCCAGTCCCCTGTATTAGCAGAATCTCTCTACATGTCGAGCATTCACTAACAGACGATCCCATTCTCACGTGACTATGAACGTGGAATCAATCATCGCCCTCACTACATTGCTTATCGCTCTTCCTCCTACTATATATGTTCTATATAGATGGTACAAGCAGGAAAAGGAAGACCCTCCACGTAAGAATCATGCCTGGTGTAGTTGACCAGGCCCTGGAGCTAAATCAAAAACACAGCGTCCATCTCTTCCCGTGCCCGCGGACTCCCGACAAGTGCAAGGCGTCGTTCACTGCTCTTCTGCACTCGTGTAGATACAATCATGGTCACGCATATGCAAATGGAAGAGGGGATTATATACGATCAAAACAAGCCTTTTAGACTTTTGAATTAGGTTGAATCTTTTTGGGGGGAGGCTCTCCAAGCGTTGTTGGAGTGAGATATAGCCAAACCACGGATGCAGTCTTGCATAGAGGTTATTAACAAATCCTTACAGTTTCTCGTCTCTGTTTCCGTGGGCTTCGTCAGGGCGATGGAGTTTCTCAGATGGTGATTTGAAAATTAGTAGGACGATACAGGGCCAGTGGTGGTAGGTTATATGCTGTCAAGTGATGTGGTTGCAAAGAAACAACTGGCGAGTGGTAGTCGAGGACATACGAAAGAGCTCTGCGCTTCTAGCTGCTACACTATTTCCTGAAGTTCAGAGTGTAGATTATTGCAGTTATTGCAAGGCTTAACTGGCTTACATAGAAGGCCACGAAGCTATGAGAGTCCACTAATTCCGGCTGGTAGCGGCTCTCTTGGAAATCCCCGAAGTTCCGATGGCCGGAATGCCGAAGCACTGAAGTCAATGACCAGGGTTAGAAACAGCGTACAAAAGTCAGATGGCAAATGTTTCATGGTTTCGTGACGCTACAGCGGCCAAGCTCTGTGTGGTAGTACAACGTGTCACCCAAATGTCTCAGTCACAAAGAGGACAACTAGCTCACGATCTAGACAATGTTACTGTGACGGGGAGCTGGGAGGAGAATCGTGTATCTCTATGTAGAACTTCAGGATATCGAAACAGGAAGTGGCTCGTCAATATTGAAACAAATAAGCCTCATGTTAACGAGGCTTCTGCACCGACTGTTGACATTAACGGCTGACCTGGGCCCGGGGACTGGACTACATGTGCAGTACGGACATCACTAGCAGGGTAGCAGAGTATCAACAGAAACATCCAGGAGCGTTCCAATAGCCAGATTCAGTCAGCATAAACGTAAATAGTAATGGTTCCCGGGACAAGATAGAATAGGAAGGGAGATAAGTAAGACAGCAAAGGAGGATCTCAAGTAAATAACAAAGGCAAGAGTAACAGTAAACAGACCCGAAATTAATCTACTTTACAAAACTCTACAAGATATTACAGACAGATTTCAATTAAAAGTGAGTATTAATATAATGTATTCTAGCTTTCAGGGTTCCAAGAATACACTATTACCATCACCAACAATAGATAACATTCAGAACTACAACAGCAACCTTCACGTTCCATTACTACACGCCTCCTCCTCTCTCATAAGGTCATAATATCATCACTTTTCATTATCTACATCACGTTTTAAGCCCACTCAGGAGCGCCACTCCTCCCACTCACCTTCCAGAGCATAGTAAACATCTCGTGAATCGGATTCTTGACCAGGCAAAAAGCACAGGCAAATCTCATGCGTTTGGAACAATTCTGGCCTCCGTTTTCTTGGCTGAGAGGGTGCTCCGATTGACTGTTTCCCGACGGCCGGAACTCCACCCTACCGCTTCAGCTTCCCGGTGATGCGGTTGTAGTTGGCCATGAAATCGGCTTTCCACTACAGTGGGATTTTATTCAGCGGTTTTCAAGACCACGGAATTTACCAAGTCGGGCGTCTTTACCAGATTTCCGAGACTCTCTCCTGGTTTTCTATAAACTGGTCTAGGTCAATCACAATTCTCTGGAATACAAATTGAAGTATACAGAAGGATAGTTGGCTTCTGTCGATGTCAATAATGCGATGCTTGGGGTTCCCTGTTAAGGGGATGCAAAGAGACCTATGACTGGATTTCTTTTCTGGCACACAGGAAGCAGAGATAATACAGGTATTCATTACATATGTCAGCAGTAGTGGAAGCTTGATGCACCCAAGGATAACATCGAGAGTCATGTCTCGGAAATGCATCATCGCGCCTTTCCGTTACGGTGGAACCCAGCTATCCTCCAAACATTGGCCAACAGGCTCAACATCCTCATGTCATGTCTGCTAAACGATCAGTTAACTCATACTCTATTCTCAGTCCACCCCTTGACCTAAAGTCTTCTGCACTTGCTTGTTTCTTTTAAAGCCTTTGCTTCTTAACTGCTGGAAACCTCTCTTAGTTACGGATACTTGATGTCTATCAAGAACCCCTTGACCATCTCCAGCTTTCTCTTCACAGGCAAACCAATCTAGCCAGGGTTATTACGCCATCTCACGCTCTCGCGTCACTCAGTCTCAGAAGTCCAGTCTTCTTGGCCGTCACTAAAGTCGACATGCTTCCAATCCTTGCAGAGCTGATCTCAGAAGTAACACTGCACAAGGTCAATGATGAAGGGCTGATGGGACTGCATGTCAACTACAGCGTTGCGTGGGCAGCTGTTTTTGAGCAGGATATCGCGGCAGTTGATCTTGTAGGCTCATTGAACAGCACGCTGGACGATCAAGATCCATTCATGCGGTGAGGTGGGCGAGGAGGGTCTTTCGGGCAAATCATGAGACCCAAACTGGGAACGAAGTGGAGAATAATACCATTGAAACTGTAGTACTTGCTGATGTTACTGCTGGCGCTTGTAGATTAGAACCGAACCTCTAGAGGCATATATATGGGGAATTAAGACCCCCTAGAGATCAACGAGACGCATGTGGGCCTCAACCTCAGTCTCAAAGGGCAATTGGGGCTATCGCCACAACGCTGCCTCAAGAATTATATCTCCCCTAGGCTCCTGTCTCCAATTAGCCGCTGAGTTGGAGGGTAGCTCCGAGCAGTGATCCTCTTCAATGTCGTCGATGAAAGAACGCATATGTTACTATCAATGAAGGAACGAAAGGCGGCCTCGTTCTAAACATGGTAGGGAAGATGTTGACCTTGCTTGCTTCTGCAAAGCCAAACCGTCGGATTGCTGTGTTCGGCACGAACACATGGATTTGGGCGCTGAGTGTTTCTAGTTTGACGAGCATTACTAAGGACACGGTGGCGGTTATGCTTTCGTGATTGGGCGGCGCCAGTTTCAGTAGATGAGAGAGCAGTATGATGGCCTTCTATTATAGTCAAGTTTTGAGTGTCGTCCTTGTGGTATTCGAGAACGAGGTCGATTGGCTCTATCGCTGCTTTCTTTGGCTGTGTTAGTTGGGGAGTGAGCCTCCGGAAAGAGATGAGCTTTTTGGCTCAGCAATAACGACGATTATGAGTTTGAGTATAAATAGAAGGAAAAGTTTGTTGATACCTGTATTGTGTTATTGTTAAGTGTTTAGAGTACGGTTGAAGGAAGCTTGGCTTGTGGTGGATAAGGGAAGCTGTAGTGCGGTGTAGCAAGGTTTACTGCGTAGGCTTATAATACTGTTCAGGTCTGGTATCGCTTGTTCTAACGCGACTCGCGAGAACGCCATGTCCGAGTTGAATGTCTACCAAATTCGAACCGAATGAGATGTTTGGCGCATGAGATGATGTTGCCCCGCGCCTTGTAGACTACTCCACAACCTTGGGCGAACCAGGCAGATTTACTTTCTCCACCAGGTGACCAGGCTATGCCAGGCAAAATCACAAAGGGTGGGTCCTCATCTCTGTCCCTGATCTTCTGATTCGCTAACGAAGGCGTCTCGGCATGGCGCAGTTCACTGCGGGCGGCTATAAACAAGGCGTAATTCCTGGTTGCCTGAGCATTACGAGTAGCTTTATTTACCACTCACTACCTCAAATAGTTTAAACATTAACTCAATCTTTTTCCGAAAAAGCCGCTTCTGTGACTAAGAGACCTATTATTTTCATAATGGGGCTCTGCAATGCTTGTACTCAGGGGCTGAGAAACGTTTACCAACAACGAGCGAGCCGTCCCAATCGCGGCTTCAACATTGTTCACATGCCTCACAATCAGGACACCTACCAGGCCTGCTGGATCTGCCAAAAATACTCCATTTGGCTTGAAGATCATTACCCAGAGACTCTCCATGCATGGAAATCGGCGCCGCTTTATAGCACATTCCGCTACAACTCAGCAACGATGACACCAACAGACGCAACGCCAGAAGAAAATTGGCGCTTAGTATCACTAGGTTTTACGGTACAGCCGCTAGGATTTTCGATTCAAGATGCTGCGCTAGAAGTGAGTGTCAGACTAATGAGTGATCAAGGTACGAGATAGCTGTTGATCGTGTGGCATCGACGCTAACCAGTTAGAATATCGATCCTATGCAACCGGAGGGGCAGAAGTCCCGAAACCTACTTCCCGCCCTCAGCTCGTTGGTACTTGGCTCACTCAATGTATGGAGACGCATTCGAGATGTGCGACTTTGCGAAACCGGGGAAGCTCGTGGTACCCGACACGTCTTCTACTCCTAGGTCCTGGACCCAGCGATGTACGGCTTATAATCTCGGCTTTGCACGACATGCAAGGGCCATACATGACTCTGAGCCACCGATGGGGTAGTTTTCCCTATACCAAGTTAACTTCAAGCACTCTGGAGAGCTTTAAACGTGGCATAGATGTCAATAACTTACCTGTCCCTTTCAAAGAGACGATACATATTGCTCGGATGGCAGGAATCAAGTATTTGTGGATCGACTCTTTATGCATTGAACAGGATGAGGATAAAAGAGACTGGAGAGTGGAGGCCCAGCTGATGGATAAGGTTTATTCGCATTCCTTCTTGAACGTGTCCGCAACCTTAGCCGACAACGACAGCCGATCTCTTTTCGACCAGTCAAGCCATCCGTTTGATCCCTTATCGCTTCCTTTGCCATACATGAAGAAGGCCAGGGTATTTAGAGTTGGCAGCCCTCGCACAAAACTAAAAATGCCTCAGCAGCGTTGGCGCAGAACCTGGATCGTTGATAACGAGCTCTGGGATGACGATATTGAAAATGCCCCATTACAGAGCAGGGGATGGGTATTCCAGGAACGGTTTCTATCTCCCAGGATCCTACACTTTGCTGAGAGACAAATCGCATGGGAGTGCAGTGAGATCAGCGCCCTTGAGATGTTTCTAAAGCGAGTGCCTCCAGGACTATTGAAAGCATCAAGAATGGACGTTATTGATAACCTCTTCTCAACGGAAGCCATAACGGATGACAACCTTATTGACTTCCGGCGAACATGGGACGATACTGTTCACAAATATACTAAGACGGTTCTCACATTCAGCAACGATAAGCTGATTGCTTTTGCTGGTATAGCCAAAGCAATTGAGGGTCTACGGAATGACACTTATTATGCCGGCCTTTGGAAGAGTGCGTTCATTTATCAACTCGCTTGGACTAGGACCAGGTATGATGCAGCCCAGCAACCGCTTGAGCTTTCATCAGGCCGAGCTCCTAGCTGGTCCTGGTTGTCGGTGGATGGCGAAATACTGCTTCCACAAGTCCAGAAGCCGCGCAAGCACTTTGCCAGTGTTGTGGAACTCCCTGACACGAATTGTACTGGAAGCTCAGCAATAACAGCCAGTGGATCCGTACTACTCCGAGGGGGTTTATTGCCTATTGACTCAATAGAGTGGGACGATGATAATTTGTCAGAATTCAACATCAACGGTCTCACATTGAAGGACGGCTGGACTTTTAATGGCACCCATCTAGATGTAGAGGGCACCAAGGACCAGATTCTTCAGCTGGAAAAGTCTGGGATTGCTCTCATTCCTCTATTTGCAACAGATGAACACATGCAGTGTATTGCTGTAACTGGTATCACTGTCCCGGGCAGCATGTCAGTGGTGTTTCGTCGCGTTGGCGCATGCCAAATTGAGTATCGAAAGCTCCATGTCTCTAATCAAGGCATCCAAGAAGGGTGGATAGAGGATCATTCAACACTCTTCGTCCCGGGTGAACCTAGTCATAACTTATTACACCCTGTTGCGCGTTCTGTTGTTAGACTGGCTGAGCTTACGATTACTTTAGATTCGAGACTTTTAAGGCTTATTTAGCTCTTGAATTATTAAGTATATTATAAGTTAACTATATAAAAGATAGTAATATTAAAAAGTTATAATACTAAATGCTAATTATTAGTAAAAATTATAAAAAAGAGTTAATAAAAAAATAGCTTATCTTTACTAGGTTTTAATATATTAAAGATTTAAAAGTAAAATATAAATCAGTATAATTT